GGGGCTCCCGGGCTTCCCGCTGGGGCCAGCGGCCTGAAGGCCTCGGGGGAGCCCCCACCAGCACCCACTCTCCGGGGAGGGCGGTGGCGGGGGCCTGACCCTGCCTCTTGCCTTGCAGACTCTGTCCAGCGAGCTGTCCCAGGCCAGAGACGAGAACAAGAGGACCCACAACGACATCATCCACAACGAGAACATGAGGCAAGGCCGCGACAAGTACAAGACGCTGCGGCAGATCCGGCAGGGCAACACCAAGCAGCGCATCGACGAGTTCGAGGCCATGTGAGGCCGCGGGACTGCAGGGCGGCCCGAGCCTGGGCCCCGCGGTCGCACGCAGACTCTGAAACTCTATTCGTAGTTCTCTAATCTAGACCCTCCTCGTACCCAGTTCCTTTAAAGAGAGTAGCTGTTTCAGCGGGAAGATCCGGGGCTGGGGACGGGAGGCTTCCCTGGTTACTTCCCATTTGTATCATAGTGCCAAACGGCCTGATTTTTACTGTTGTTATTATTGAATCACTTCCTGTCTGTGCTGGGGGCAGGGCCGATCGAATCAAGGAAAGGGCCACTGCACGCCTGAGGGGCAGCTCCGTGCTGGCGTGTGTGACTCGTGTCATTACAGCACCCTCGGCGGCTCCAGTCCGTGCCATATTCCGTCTGTATTTGAAATTAGCCCAGATTGATTGATTGTACTTGATTTCTGTGAAGGATGCATCTCTGTATTTATGTTTTTGAGGCTTGAAAACTGGTCGAAAGCACTCACACACATGCACATGGTGACTTCCTCGGGCAGCAGCGTCCTCGCTCATTCCGGACAAACAGCACAGGAGGACACACGCTTAGATAAACGCCTGGTTTAACAGTTAGAGGCTCCATGGTTGGGCTCACACACCTGATTAATGATGATCAGCTATAGAATATAATATTTATATATAAGCAATAATATGGGTTTGTAACATTAGTTAAAAAGGGAAAACCTTGTTCTGTATATTTTGTTACCTTTTACAGAATAATAAAGAACATGAAAACCATGTTACATTGTGAGGGCAGTAATGAAGCCGGTTAACCGCTGTCGTCACGTCCCGACGCCCCACATTTCCATTTTCTGCCGGAACTTCCGACATGAAACACACACGTGCTGCTCATTCAGCTGCAGCCACGGCGCCCCGGCCTGGGGAGCGTCTGCGTTTCCACAGAACCTCTCTCTCCGTTCTCTCCCACGTGCTTGGAAGCCATGGCAATGCCGGCTCTCCCTCCCGCTGCAGGTTCTGCTGGTGCACCGGTCTCCCCTGCCCCCCCCCCCCAAACGTGAACGGCGAGGCACAGTGCGGGCGTCCGCTTGCCTGTCTGCAGTCCTGCCAGCAGTGCCTCGTGGGGCTGGCATCCCTCACCTGGACCACAGAGCTGACCCCCCGAAGTGGGAGTCTGTCCCCCTCCCCCCCCAGCTCTCTTGGGGGTTGGCTGACCTGCCTCCAGAGGTGTTTTGCAGGAGGGTGGGAGGGATCAGATACCCACCAGCTCCTTTGCTTTCTTCGAAACACACATAACAAGGCCACCATTTTCACTGTTGGATAAGCACTGGGAGACGGGCAACAAGCATTTATTGAAATCACATCTTGGCGCAGGTACCCATGCGAGACTCCTTTTTGTCCCTGACCACTACCCTGTCACATGACCGCTGCAGGCAGAGGGTCGCCTCCAGAGGGCCTCCCAGCTGTGCACCCTCAGCCCAGCGGGCACACGGCAGCCCGCGCTGGCACCTGGCGTCCGTGCAGGATGAGGGTCGTGTCTGTCCATACGTTGGGGCTGGAGAGAACTTTCTGCCGCTGCAGCTGTGACTGAGCCTGTGCCAGTGCCGCTGCCGGCTACGTCTTCCTCTGATGAGTGAAATGAGTAACCATGGCCTGCAGGCACCACCCTTTCCTCGGCTTCTTCAAAGGACCAAAATAGTAACAATAAATAAAAAGGAGGATGCTTTCGTGTTGCCCAGCAGGCGTGGCTGGCGTGGCTCAGTGGTTGAGCATCGACCCATCAACCAGGAGCTCACAGTTTGATTCCCGGTCAGGGCACATGCCTGGGTTGTGGGCTCGATCCCCAGTGTGGGGTGCGCAAGAGGCAGCCGATCAATGATTCTCCTTATTGATGTTTCTATCTATCCCCCTCTCCCTCTCTCTGAAATCAATAAAAACAGAAATGATATTTTTTAAATAAAAGTAACTATATAAATAAAAAGGAGGACCAGCAAGGACAGGATCAAGTAATTTTTCACCTCGACTCAGACCATGTTAAAACGCCAACCACTGACCGAGAGGGCTCCCCACCCACACCCCAATGGAACGAGTTCAGGAGAGGACGTGGGGGCATCCTCCCAGGGACTTGGGGCCTAAAGCTTTTCCTTCCTGTTAGCTGAGCGAGGAGTAGGTGGCTGAGTGGGCTGGCGCTCCAGGAGGGTTGACTACAGTCATAACGCGTCATGGTCAGTGGACAGGTGTGGGCGCCCCAGACGGGGGCCAGGTTTGAAGTAAGTTCTCAGAGGAAGGGGGTTTGCTTTGCACAATATTTTCTTTAAAAGCAAATTGTAATTTAAGTGAGTCCTGTGTATCTTCCTTGGTCCCTTGTTGTCCTTGGAGTGTGTGCAAGTGGTTTGGTGGTCACAGTGTTTGGGGGGCCCTGCTGGCAACCAGCGGGAGGACTGGGACACTCAAGCCCAGAGGAAGGACTGTCCCCCACAAAATGTCAGAGGCGCCCCTGCTGGGCAACACAAAAGCACCCCCTTTGTCCCACTCTTAACGAAATCCTTTCTGAACTGCCAGCCGAATGGTTTAAGAAGGTATTTTCCTTTACGCAAATAATCCTTTTATGATTGACGCCAGGAACAAAAGCAAGTACTGTGCCCAGCCCATGTGGAGGCCTGCAACTTGTGTGTCCTTAGCAGATCCTAAGTCTGATTTAAATGGTTGAAATGCTTTGCTGTATTATCGCCCCGCTGTATAGTCAGACCTAGACTTGGCACCTTCCATCTATGGCAGGTTAGGCAACTCCAAAGCCAGTGACATCGCCTGCCCTCGAGGAAACGTGCCTCTTCTTTTCATGGTGTCCCTGTAAGTCCCTAAGGACCAACCACGCACTCGGGCCCAATAAACATCAACCAGACTCCCCGGGTCCCAGCCTGGCCTCTCAGCACGCGGTCGTGCACACTGGGTCAGCCTGGTCCCAGACGTCAGCCCCAGGCAGGCCTGCCGGCGCTGAGAGGGGTCACGCTGTTGGAGACGAAGGAGGGCGTCCACGGCGGATACGCTGGCTTCTTCAGGACCGGGGACGCAGCCTGAGTTTTCCTGTGTCCGGCAGAGAGGCAGCTGAGAAGGAAAATGGCTGCCATCCCCGCCCTCCAACACCCTCTGGCTTCTTGGTACTTGCTTATCGGGGAGACGATTAGAACTAAGAAGAGGGCTAAGTCTACCACAAAATACAAACGAATGGAAGAGAGCGGCACCCACAGGCTAGGAGGAGGACCACCTCTGGAGAGGATGCTCTGAGTTTGGAGGGATCTGCACCAGGCACTGGGGCGGTTGGGATGCTGAGGCCACGTGGTCCCTTGCGCAATCCCCCTCCTCGGCCTCCCAGCCGGCCACAGCCCACGTATGAGGCCTGCCAGCAGGCCCAGGACCAGGCGCACGCCTTATCTTGTTTTAGCCCCGTCCTCTTCGGGAGGTTAAGTTCAGAAGCACAAAGCAACTCCCCAGGGCCATACGAGCCGTCCCGGGTGAGGACACACTCCGCACTGTCCACACTAGTCGCCATCACTTCCCACAGTGGCACTGCCGGGATTTAGCGATTCTACATCGTAATGGAGTTGGCACCCTGGCTCGGGTGGGCGTGTCCCGTGCATCTAAAAGGTCACTATTCAGTGCCCAGTCAGGGCACGTGCTCAGGTTTACCGCTGGGACCCCATAGGGACATGCAGGAGGCAGCTGATCTATGTTTCTCTCTCACATGGATGCTTGTCTCCCTCTCCCTTCCGCTCTCTTTCAAATCAATTGGGAAAATGGTGTTTGCTTTACTTTTGAAAACAATGCACTGATAAACTTAACCCATAACCCTGACCCTAACCCTACACTCTAACCCTAAACCCAACCCAAAACCCGAACTCTAACCCTAACCCTAAACCTAAACTCTAACCCTAAACCTAACCCTAAACCCTAACCCTAGTCCTAACCCTAACCCTAATGTAAACTCTAAACTCTAACCCTAACCCTAAACTCTAACCCTAACCCTAAGGGTTGGGGTTAAGTGAGAATGAAATCTGCTGAGTCACCCATCTTACCGCTGAAGCTGAGGAATATTTATAAACACGCCTTTTTCCATGTTCCCGCTCAGTCAGTGAATGCTGACTCGCTATGATGAGGACCAATGCGGTATCCAAACCTAGACTCAGCACAAATTTTGGAGATCAGTCTTTTTTTTTTTTAATTTATTTCAGAGAGGAAGGGAGAGGGAAATAGAAACATCAATGATGAGAGGGAATCATTGATCGGCTGCCTCCTGCATACCCCCTACTGGGGATCGAGCCCGCAACCAGGCATGTGCCCTTGACCGGAATCAAACCCAGGACCCTTCAGTCCGCAGGCCGACGCTCTACCCACTGAGTCAAACAGGCGAGGGCAGAGATCAGAGTCTTAACACGACTTAGTCGATTCTTGTGGGAAAGGTAAAACACCGGGAGTTTACATGGCTCACCCTTGTTGGTGTTTCCTGTAGGCCCTAGGCCAGTGGTCGGCAAACTGCGGCCCCTGGAGCGCGGCTCTTCCACAAAATACCACGTGCGGGCGCACACGTACAGTGCGATTGAAACTTCGTGGCCACACTCAAGGGGCCAAAAAGCCACATGTGGCTCGCGAGCTGCAGTTTGCCGACCACTGCCCTAGGCCCATGCCATACATATAATAAATTACCAGTAAATGATGTTCTATTAAACCCGATACCTACCCCCTGACACAGGAGTTCAGGTGCCACCTGACCGCACCGGTCAATTCCTGGTTCCCAGCACCACCAGACAGAGTTGACGTCACATGATGGCTGACCTCCTGTCGCTGGAAAAGAAGCCGCCATTTGCTATCACCCCCCACCCCCTCCTCCCTGGGCAC